CATTCTTTCCATTACTATTTTGCTAACTTACTAAACAGAGTGTTCTTTCAAGATTTTTTTATACTGTATTCTGTTTGTTTATGCAGAGGTTTCTGTTCATATTGATGTGGCTGCTGCACAAACAGGAGTTTCTCGGTTTCTAGAAATCAATTCAGACTGGAGGTATGTTATGAACAAGGGATTTTGATTTAAAGATTTAAAGATAGGTGCCTGCTTTTTGTTTGTTTGTTTTGTTTTGTTTTTTGGTATTTATACAATGGCAAATATGATGAATATAGTTTCTGTTGCAGCACACTTACTAAGCTAGGTCAAGGACAATGTGAATCTCTAGGCAGCTTTGATGATGTCTGCAGTGCTACCAATGTAAAACTGGAAAACTGCAGTATTTTTTTTTAACTGTTTTGGTTCTTTTTGGTCTAAGTATCATGGGTTCTTTGTAGTCATAAGCAACAATGCAAAAAATATTATAAGCTAATTAAATCTCTGGTAGTTTTCCTGCAACATCATGTGGTACAAAAAAAATGAGCTATAGACGAGCACTGTAAGTAGCAGTGATAAACAAGTAGTTGTAAGAATCAGAATATTTAAATGACAAGTAGGAGACATTTCTGGTATTGCCTGCTTTTTAGGATGCAGACCAAAAAATGAGACACACTTTCGATTCTTAGCACTTCAACCAAAATCTACTTTTTTCATTTAAAATACAATCTTAATGAAATGATTCAGAATAAAGGTACAAAGTACCTTGATTAATTTGTGCACAAAAGCAGTACAAGCTGATTCTGGTTTCAACTTAAGATGCATTCTGAGTATGGAGTTTTTTCTCTAGTTATCCTCTTGTTTAACAGGTGAATAAACACAGTTTAGTTATGGCAATGATTTGAGGAGGAAGAAGAAAAAGTAGGCTTTTGGGGAATCTGCAGGCACTGTCTAGGTTGATATGCCTTATTTTATTACTGTGCTTTTTCGTATTATCTTGATGGTACTGATAGTTTTAAACTGTGATTTCCCTCACAGTTACCACTGCAATGTTTATTTTTAAATTGATTTTTGTATACTCAATCTGGAGTTAGTTCTTCCTAACTAATGAACAGTTAAGAAGAAACCTCAAACTGCTAGTGTGCATATTATAAAACAGACATGTTAGCTAAAATGTTGCAGTTTTAGCCATAATTTCCATATTCTCTAAATTCGGTACAATGTGTTTACTAATTCTCTAAATTTTAATTCAATGTGTTTTTTATTTATATTTTCTTTTTATTGCAAGTGATTTTTGCTTGCAAGATTGCAGTGCAGTGGGATTGGAAGTCAGATGAGTAATATTTCTGTCACTGATGGACCTTTCATACTGTTGCAGCTGAAGGGCAGTTTTTCTCTCTCACTTTTATCAGACTCATCACAAAAAATGCCTTAAAGGAGGGCTGATTCATCATAAAGTTTAATATAAAAAAAGGGTCATGCAAAATCAGCAACTGAGTGTCACACAGGAGTGTCACGTTGTCTGTCAGCGCAGTGCCCCAAAGTGTGGTGGCCGCAGCTCTCTGTCTTCTTATATGTGGGAGTGACAGCCTTTCAGATGGACAAAAAAATCTACCATCTTTCCAGACTGTATATACCAGATGAAAAAAAAGATTTATGGATGGAGTGGCTATGAAGAACAATTACTTATCTGAATAGCTACAAGCCATAAGTAGAAGTGCCTTAAAAGTTACCAGCTTTCACTGTGTACAGATTAGATCTATTTGCCTCAAGAAAAATTCAGGTGATCCACTGTTTTTTTTGTTTGTTTGTTTTTCAAAGAGTGGTGGAAAGATGGCTTGTTTATGTGGGCTTTAGCATGGACAGGTGTTATGGTCTTATCTTCAATTAGTGCAGTCTCTCAGAACCAGGAATAAATATGCTGTGTAAGCTTGAAGTATTTAAGAATAATAAAACTCAGAAATGCTTGCAACCAGATGAAAGGCCCTTTGTTTGCTGATGAGCACAACGTGAAATTTCGAGTTTACTGGTAAAGTTGTTACTAAATATGCTGTTCCTTCTGCCAGTCAGGGTACATGTGCCCTCTTAAGTGATAGTGTGATCTTTCTGGAAATAAGCAGATAAAGTTAGTGTGAAATTTTAGTAGAAGGCAGAATTAATGTGCAAGATCTAATTCTGTATTGTGTGGTGTATTTACTGACGCTTCAGATTCTGTCACTCTCGGGTCTGTTTCCTTTTGACACCTCCAAAATTTTAGTTAACAGTATACACAAGTCTTTATTTTATCATACTTGGTAGTATCTTAAATGTTAATGATTTTATCTTTACAACATTACCTTAGATAGCAGAAATTAAGATCGCTTCCATTTTTTCGCAGAGGAATTCAGAAACACTAGAGGCCAAAAATTCAAAAATACATGTGGGGGGCAGGGGGGAGGGAACTGTAATTTTGGAATTTGGTTCTGTGTAGCTCTAGGAGTATTTAGGGTATTTGATTGCAGCACTTCCCCATCTGTGTCCGTGCATGTAACAAAGGCTGCAGCCTTGAGTAAGTTACTTGTGAAATGTGTGGGAGGAATGAAGTGCCTAGGAATAGGAGATAAAAAAGCTGGTGGAAATAGTTTGTAAGGGATGGCAGCACAAAGGCTGAAGAATTGGATACTGTTCTTCACTTGGGATATATGGGATGAATACTGTGTAGTTAGGTGCCCAGGACAGTCCTGTCCTACACAAAACTAACAGCAAGTAACTTCCACCTTAACCTCTGTCTTCTAGAATGTTACTTGCTGTCAGCATAGAATACTTTGCTAAGGATAAAGAACAAAGATTTTAACCTACATCTTGGAAATAAATTAAATGATGGTTTGTAGAGCGTTTTGGGATGGATTTAATCCTATTCTTCCTTGCAGAAGTTGCTACCTAACATAATAGACTGCCTATGTAAGCAGCTCCTTGGGCTATTAATTCCACCTGCTTCTATTCCCTGAGCGAGTAAAAAACAGCTGTGAACTAGAGCAGTGTCTGTGTAAGTGAGAGATCTACTTCAAATTTTGTAAAGCAGAAAGGTCCACACAGCCCTTGGAGATGAGGAACTTCCAGTTCTAAGCCCAGATCAAACGGAGATTGACTGAACTTGCACCTAGATCTTCCGTACGCCATCCAAATGCTCGAGTTGCTTTCTGTGGTATAAAAGACAATCTATTTATATGAGTAATTGTGTGATCCTGTAAATTAACCTCTATGGCTAAGCTGACAAAAGTGCCTTGTGAGGCTAAAATGTTTTCCTCCTTCTACATACTCAAAGAGTACAAGTTAAATGGTTTTAGAACTTGACAATTGCTTTTATTTATAACAAAGCATGTGTACACACACACACACACATGTGCAAGTGTGTGCGAGCGTTCACTTTTATATTCTTGTTTATGTTTAGGTGCCTATGTTTTTAAAGGCTGACCCAAAGGGCCCTGCCCAAACATAAAGTTTGCATGTATCAGGCAACTGAATTCACAAGTAACAGGAGCCAGGTTAATGCTGTAATTGCTAGATTTTTTTTTTTTTTCTGTAGAGTATCCAGGAAAGTCCTTTTCACGCTATTCTCTCAGGATCCTAATGTAACATTATACTATCAGAAGAGAAAAGTTTCTACTCAAGTGCCCCAGAAATTTATTTGAAATTAAAACAAACAAACAAACCTCACCTAAACCTCAAGATTCATAGAATTAGAAGTTAATGAGTCCAGTTTTCTACAATGTTAGGCTTTGCGGTAAAGAATTCTTCTCTATAGGGCCAAAATAAAGGATTAGATAGGAAGCATTTTGGCTGTCCTGTTTTTTAATCACAGTTGCAACAGAAAGACTTGCTTAGAATGACTGCAAACTCTCAGGTTTAATTTAATCATGTGATATAACTGAGAATGTTAACTTTTGTATTTCATCTTGGATACTACATGGCCTTGTGGTAATACAGACATTTAATATGTAGAGAGAGCAATGTAAATAAGCTTTCTGTATTCTTTGCAGGTATGACAAAAGAGAAGATGTTAAACCAGGAGACCAGATGATGTTTTCATACACACACATACTGATGGAAACAAATCCTCTTCAAATATTACATTACAAAACAACCCACAAGCCACTGGCAAATATATCTGGCATCAGTAAAATCGGGTTGAACCTTACTACACTACCTCCTTTTACTTTAAACTTAAAACCAAAATTAATACTGTTAGAAAAGCTTCCCTCATTGTCCTGACTGTGAATTTTAAGTAAGTCTTTTTGATGTAATTTTCCCAATGAGTGAATAAGACAACTGCAAATTATCATTCTAGGGCCACAGTTCAGCTTCTGTGAAAAGGTATGGAAAATAATGTTGGTATTGATTGGCATTTACCTCTGTTTTTTACATATATATTGCAACACATTCCTAGGCAGTATGTACTTAAATACTGAGCTACATTGTTAGCTAAATTTGATTTGAGAATACAACTTTAACACTATTAAATAAAACCCATGTACTTCGTTCTGGTAGCTGTTTCATAATGCAGCATGGCTATGTCCTAATTGTCCTATATAAGATGTATAATGGAACTGGTTTGTGCTACTGCTGTGATTAGATATGTAATCTCTGTGTGCAAAGATGTATCATTTAACATATCTGCAGGATTGTGACCCCCCTCAGTTGTCAGATTGCCTGTGTGAAACTTCTAATTATGTTAGCATCACAGCAAAGCCATATTTATTGTAGCCTCATCACAATACCTAATTGTGCCCTGTAGGCTACCAAACTAATTAAAGTGAACAATTAAGTTGAAAAGCAGTTGTATATCTTGGCAAGCACTGTTTCATAACAGATTTGAGTAGTAAAGGATGTCTGTATTTATTACAACACTGTATGAATAAGTGCGACTTGGATTTTACAGAAAAGAAAGATAATTTTCTGTTGAGGTTGTCCATCTAGTTTGCTGAGTAGAAGAATTTAAGGTGTATACCAAGAAAAGGCATTAGAATTTCAGTTAAAAGCAGTTGTAATTTGACAGGAACTCCGATTTTTTTTTTTTTTTTAAACTGTGTTTTTGAAATAAGTGTGGCAGAAAAATATTCCTTACTTGACTGAAGCCTCAAGAGTGGAGAAAAAAAAATCTGATTGTGTGGTGTGTGTGTGTGTGTGTGTGTGTGTATATATATATATACACATATGTGTATATATATATATGTATCCTGTCTTAAAGCATATTTCATTCAGAGACCTACTTTTCCTGTACGTGCGTCTCAGTTTTTAGGGTCATGTTTTTGTTTTTAGGCTCCAGTTTGTGTATCAGAAGGAGGGATCTGGTGGGGTGGAGCCTGCCCCGCGCTGGGTGGCGGCTGCGCCGCTTCCTCACGCTCACGGCTGGCAACGGCAGCCTGCCCAACTGGTTACTCCAGTCTCCTGCTTCTCCTGAAATTACTGAACTATTATCTATTTGACTTCTCTCTGGAAGAAAAATGAACTTCCTCCAGAGCCAATTTGAACATCAAATGGTTTACATGGTGCAGAAGGAAGTACATGTGCAAATACCTGATAATTTGGAAGAATGCAAAGGAGAAAAATCTGGTAAGGATGTAGGCTCTTGTGTGTTAAGCAAAAATAAGTAACTTTTCAGTTCATCCCCTGCAATGGAATCTGTAAATGAAGTACATAAATATACCCTGCCCCAGTGAAGAAGATCTACTAAACTTGCACATATGGTTATTCCAGCCTTTGAAAGCGATGGTGGCCTGAGCCCCTTCTGCAGCAAGCTTTTTCTGCTACCTAGAGAAAACCAAGATATACTATGTGTGCAACCTTTGCACCTCAAGCTGAGGCCTCAAGTGGCATGTAATATGCAGACATTTGGTGCTCTAGAGCACCAAGAGCTTCATCTCACCAAGCGCTGGGCACAGTTAGCTGAGGGGGTCCTTCACACACCTCCAGGTACTGGCTGAGCTTTCGGCAGGGCTAGTGCTAAGCTGTGCTCTGCTCCGCCTGGGCAGAGCTACCAGGGTAAACGGGAGCAGTCTCCAGCGTCCAGTGCAGTTGCTTGGGGTAGAAGAAAGGAAAATGTGACCAAGATGACAAAAAACAGATGTACTGCAGCTCTGGGCAGTTTCTCAAGTTGGAGGACCCCTTGCATCTTGCTCTGCTTGCAGGGTTCTTGAAAAGGTCTTAGTTAGAGGTGTGAAAGCTGCTCGGCTCAGTGCGGGAGCAGCCCCCTCCGCAAGGAGGAAGGGCGCCCCCCGCGCTCGGACAAGCGTTGCTGCCGTTTTCCCTCAGAGGCTGCCCTCTTCCCACACACCTTCCGTGGAAGAGAAACCGAAAGCTACCTCTCCTTTCCGTTAAAATGAACGTTCTGAGCCTTGGTCTTTCTTTAGCTCAACGAAGGTTTGTGGGCAGAGTTTCCACAGGAAACGTGCAGCTTAATTTCTTTACTGTAGATTAGTACTCTTTAATGTAGATTGATACAGAAGAAATAAAATGTGGGGTTTATGTCCCCATAGATATAACAGGGTACTAAGTGAGTCTCCTACACCTTTTACAAATACAGATTTTATTACAAACTTTTCTGGATTCTGGAGGAGGGAGGCAAGAGGCAAGGGAAGGTTTAAGAAAGCCCCAACTTATGACATGTAGGTAAAAGACATCCTCTCAGAACTGCCTTGGAAAGTACCAAGGGACTTTAAAATACTCTTTTTTTTTTTTTTTTTAAGAAAAAAAAATCCTTTTATGTCGACTGACTGCAAACAACTCCGGCTTAAATACAGCTTTTCTTATTAAGAGCAGACATTACTATCATTCAAATAATTGAGTGCCCAATTAACACAAAAATATATAGTACCATTTATCTGTAAGTTGTTACATCTATGAGTCAAACACAATACAGTACGAAGAAAATGCACTTAATATGTTTAATAGTGCTGTAAAGTGAGATTTACTTTAGGGTGTCTTTTAAACTTCCCAAAGGTCATCGAATGGTGACTATTATCATGTATTGTCATTTGAAGTTTGACTTAATTTCTTACAAGCAAGGTTTGTACCTGTAAATACATGGCTAACACCTGAGTAGGACACACACATATTACTAGGAAAGGCCGAAAGAAGATGAAGAGAGATGAGATGGAAAACTAAATAAAATAATTTTATATTGCATCAAAAAGTTGTGGAACTTATTCATAAAGGATATTTTGGATGCTAAATGAGGTTGAAAACAGAATTAAACAAATCAGTATCTCATCAAGAAGATCAAGGTCCAACTTGCAGTTCTGGAAGTCTCTAAGAAATAGCGTTCAGAGCCAGGGAAAACACCAGACTTTTACCTTACAACCTTCCCTAAGTAGCTGCTAGAGGTGTCTCTCAAGAGAATTTTGTGGAGGAGGAAATGGAGATTTGCTCCACTGGGTCATATGCATGTAAATATTTACCTGTTAATGCAGAGAAAAGTGAGAAGGTATCTCCCAGGTTCTTTCCCACACCATCTGTTTCCTTCAAAGCAGCGACTCAATGCAACCTAACTGCAAAATGCCACTCCTGGCATTTAGAGAGCTTTAGAAAGGTCGATCCCTTTCTCATTTCACAGATCCTATAGGTACAACAGAGTACACATTTAAGTAAGCAAGACTGAGACTGCTGCCTCACTGCGTGCTGAGGGAAAACTGTTCTAAAACTTCTGTCCATAATTCTATGGAATTATGGAAAAGGTGGTTAAAAGGTAATAGGAAGTTTAAGCACTTGTTTGCTGTGTGTTACATCAAAGCAAGTGTGTGTGGAGGGAATGGGGGGAGTACTTTTAAATTTCATTTTGTTCTGCAAAGCATACATTCATTTAGAGGTTTTGAGCAAGAAGTTACACATAGCTTCTCTTCTGTTCCCTGGTATTTGAGAAGTCTTTTTCATATGTATTAAAATGTAAAAGTAGACTTGCACAGAGGTCTACTGCCACCTTCCTCACTTTGCACCCGTCTTCATTCTTAAAACCTCCCCTTGCCCCCTCAGAGGGTCTTCAGTCTTTGTTGTGCAAGTGATTTCATTTGCTGTTTGCAGAAGCACAAAACCTCTGACCAAGTTTATCCTCACAAGTGCTTAGCCACAGCTGTCTCGAGTAGTTGGTTACATAATTAGTCTCCATGACTGAAATGAAATTCATCACTACCTGGTTAACACAGGGCACAGAAGATTAAAATAATGCTTTCAAAAATTCCTGATGTGACATTAGAAAACCACAGTGAAGCTTTTCTTCGTTTTTGCTTTAGATGTGGATGATTTCTATTTTTAAATAAATGATTTTTTGTGTGTGTATCCGACTCCCATATCAGCTCTTCTGCTTAGTTTATCAATTCCAATTACTTCTGGATGTTCACTTCAGACTTTTATAACAGCAAGGATGTTTGGTGTTTTTCCTGAAACAGTAAATCTCTCTGTCTTTCACAAATCCTACTTTATTTTAGCTGCGACTGGCCTTGGTTTGCATCCACCAACCCGTACCAACGCTTGGTTTGTGTCCACTTATGTCAAATCTAAGGTAAAAGCACTTTTGGAAATATATCCAGCCCTTTCCTTTAAAATTGACCATTTGAATCAAGAAATCTTATATTATAAGCATCTTACAAAATCTGAATAATCTGGAATCAGAAAATGCTGTTTGCTAACTCTGTTTATTTTCCTGGATTTGGAGATATCTACATTTCAGTATCTTATTGTCAGCTCTGTATTATGATAGAGAAAAAAAAAATGTTCCTTTTAAAGGACAGATCCTAACAAAGGGGTACAAAGCTACTTTGTGGTGGTTCTCTATATTTACACTTAATTAGATTAATCACATCCTTATGCTGGAATTAGACTGTATTCTAGACTGAGATTTCTGTTCTTTGGCAATTCAGAAGCTAATCTTGGGTGGGAAAAGTCATGTGCATTCCTAGTAAATGATCACCAGCTAAACTCTGAAATCAAACAAGTTAATTCCCTTTTGACTGGCCAGGAGGGAGGTAGGCCAAATGCAAAGATCCAAGATGGGAGTCTGGGGTGTAGGAACCGTTATCCACAAGTTCCTGGAGGATAATGTAGATCTCAATAGATAGTTTATATTATATAAATATATTTGCAAAATATAAATTACAAAACTTGAAATATTTCGGAGGTGTCAGAGATTTCAGCTTCTTCCCCCTCCTACCTTTAATACTTGAGATATCTTGCTGCATAGTATACAAGTTACCTTATTACTGCCGACTTCTATAAGAAACAAGTTCCGAGATCCTTAGGATTTTGGTGGTGCATAAAGAATTTTCTCTCTATATATAAGTATCTCTATGAAGAAAACAAAAATGTTACTTCTTAAGTTGTCTTGAAATTCACTCGATTTTAAGCTAATATCACTATCCTGGTTTGTCAAATCAGTGTGTTGTTGGGTGTTGTCTC